ACAAAAAAAAAAAATTATCAAAAGCTTATCAAAAAATTCGAAAAAATTCCAAAAAAAAAATGGTTGGACGCGGTAAGAGGTTAAGGAATGACTGGGGATGTTTTTTTTAAAATTTTACATGAAAAATATTTGTTTCGATTTTTTTTTTTTAAACGGCTGCGCCGCGATGGCGGCCGAATTCGAAGCAGGCACGCCGCGATTTCGGCCGCATCTGGCGCAATCGCGGTGCGAACGCTTGATTTTGGGCCGCGGAGCCCGGCCGTCTACTAGGCCGCAATCGCGGCACGTCGCCGCGACTTTTTTTTTAACTAAAAAAAGGAAAATAATATACAATATATATTATTATATTTTAAAAAATAAATATAATAATATATATTTTATATAAATTTTAAAAATAAATAACAAAGTTATCGCATTTAATTTTTTATTTAATTAAAAAATATAAATATATGAAAAAAAAGATATTTAAAAATATAACATATATTAATAAATTCTTTTTGCGTTTTTGTTTCGATTTCTAAAAAAATGTATCTAAAATATATATAGATATATATTTATTTAATAAATATATATAATATAATATATATATATATATTTAATATATATGTTTTTGCTTTTTTTCTTTCTTTTATGTCTTTTTCGCTTTTTTTTAAAAAATATATATTTAAAATATATATATTTATTTAAGAAAAACATTAAGAATATATATATATATTATATTAATAATGAAAAACTATTAAGAAATAAATACATAAATATTCTGTATATATTAATAATTAAAAAATAATAATAATTCAAATTAATTAAGATTAATAAATTAAGTTGTCTAATTTAAGTTTTTAAAATAAATAAATTAAAAAAGTTTGTTTATTAATTATTCATTTAAAACTTTGGATTTAAGCTGATGAGTATCTTGCCGACTTTGATGGTTCTGGACCCCGACACACGCACGCTCATAATGTGAATGCTTCCGCTCAGCAGGAGAGGAACCGGATGCTCCTTGATGCTCGTAGGGTACAGACTGCCCAGGCTGGTAGTTCGAGACATCTCGTTACTCCGATACAGAGTGGTCAGTAGTCGGGCCCACTCATGCCTGGCAGTTCGGTACGCCCCACTCCGATACAGAGTGGTCAGCAGTCTGGCCCACTCATGCCTGGCAGTTCGGGACGCCCCACTCCGATACAGAGTGGTCAGCAGTCTGGCCCACTCATGCCTGGCAGTTCGGGACGCCCCACTCAGATGTAGAGTGGTCAGCAGTCTGGCCCCCTCATGGCTAGCAGTTCTGGACGTCGCCCGATTATACGTACTGTTCATCGGCGGGACTCCACTTATGAGTCGGATGTCAGGAGTCCGCAGGATGATGATGATGATGATGATGATGATGATGATGATGATGATGATGATGATGATGATGATGATGATGATGATGACGACGACGACG